CGAGCTGGTGGCAGTTGGCAGGTGGCAGGAAAGGGGCTCCACGAGCACAGAGCTCTCGCGCAGGGTGACAGAGGTGGGGATGGAAGTTCTAGCACTCGGTCCCACGGCTGCTCTTCACCCTTCCTCCCTGAAACCCAGAACTGGCACACCCCATGGGAGAGTCAGGCCTCCAGGCTGTGGAGGCTACTGGGGCCTAGGCTTAGGGTGCCAGGGCCAGCCCAACACAGAAGCCACCCGCCGCTGCTAGCTTCTGCCCACTGCCCAGTCTTAAGGTGATGGCCCCTATGAGAATCTTGTCCTATTTGAATATTTTAAAAGGATGGCTCTTCTTCCTGAAAAATGCATAAACATATAGCACTCCATGCACAACTTCACAGAATTCCGAAGCTCTACTAGGGACTCCACCCTCCACAAGGTGAAGAGGAAAAGTGACCCTGAATTCTAGATCTGGTCATTTCCCCGGGAACCCCTCCTGCCCTCCCTACCCTGCACAGCAAGCCCTGACGCCTCACCTTCCTTGTCAGTCAGCACCTCCATGCGCCCACTGAACATGGCCTTGAGCATGGTGTCGTGCCGGGTCAGGGCCCGCACAGTGGTGTAGTACAGGGAGCCGCCCACGTTCAGCTGGATGTACTTGTTGCCCAGCCCTCCTCCCTTGAAGCCGCTGAGCTTGGGCTTGGCCCCCGAGGCCGGGCACAGGCAGGTGTCCCCCGACATCTCCCGCTGCAGGTAGATCACCACACGGCAGGAGGTAGGCTTGGAAGGCTCCGCCGTGGTGGAAAGGGTCACAAGTGAGTGGCCAGTGGAGGCCACAGCCTCATACTCTCTGTGCTGTACAGGGGAGACGGGAGAGAGGACACGAGTCAGCTGAGAGAGCCCTCAGACCAGGAACGGACAAAAGCAGAGACTTGACTGTATCATTCTCTCCTTGACAAGCCCAAGCACCACTCGCTGGCAGAGACTGAGTCCCTGCCATTTTGTTTTCTTTTTTTTTTTCTTAGAGACAGGGTCTCACTCTGTCACCCAGGCTGGAGTGCAGGATGCCATCTTGGATCACTGCAGCCTCTGCCTCCTGGGCTCAGGTCATCCTCCCACCTCAGCCTCCTGAGTAGTTGGGACCACAGGTGCCTGGCACTATGCCCAGCTAATTTTCTTTTTTTTGGGTAGAGACAGGGTTTTACCATGTTGCCCAGGCTGGTCCTGAATTCTTAAGCGCAAGCGATCTGCCCACGTCAATGTCCCAAAGTGCTGGGATTATAACTGTGAGTAACTGCATCTGGTCTCCCTGCCATTTTTACTATACCAGGAACTGGGGCTGGGAGCAGTCTCCCGGATCCCTGCCCTGGTCACCTCACCAGCCTCCCTGAGACTCAGCTCCACTCAGGGCAGCAAGGAAGACAAGCAAACCCATGGAACCAGTCAGAGAGGGCCAGAGGAACAGAACACCCTAGGGATCTACCAGTCCGATTCCGGTGACCCTCTTGTCAAGGTTCCCAGGATCCCAGACTTTCAGCCAAGCCTACTGGGAATCCGGGCAGCCTAGGAGTTTCCCAGGAGCCAGAGGGACAGGATGCACTTCCTTTCTAAAGATTCCAGCCTCAGGAGCAGTCTGCGCCAGTGTTTATTCTGAGCACCACCAAGAGTCTGGCTTCAGGAAGGAAAGTAAAAGCAGCTTCAGGAGAGAATGCAGTGAGCCAGGGTGGAGGGCGCTGGCCAGCGTTCTTGGCGTAGGTTACCTGGGTTCAGCTGGGGCTTTCTGACCTTCCCTTTTCTTGGCACCAGCCTTGTCCCAAGTTCCTGAAACCGTCGCCATTTTTGAGGGAAGAATATAGATGCCTATTTTTGTCTCTTTTTCCTGAGAGGGAGCTTAGCCCTACTCTCCTACCTCCCAATAAGAATGGCAGAAGAAAGGACTAGAAAAGATCAAAGATGAAAAATCTAAAAACAAGGTACGCTGTATGCTGCCACATGCCTGTACTCCCTGCTACTCAGTAGGCTGCGGTGGGAGACTGCTTGAGCCCAGGAGTCAAGACCAGCCTGGGCAACATAGCAAGACCGCATCTCTAGAAAGAAAAATTAAAATTAAAATAATAAAGTGATTTGGAAATTAAAACACTAACAGGAGTTCATAGGAGGGAGGAGAAAAGAAAGCAAAACCAGCTACTCCTCATGATTTAGATTCTATATTATGTTTTTGGCTTTCTAAAGCATCACTAAAATTCATTTGCTGGAGAAACAACCTATCATAAAATTCACTGCAATGCTTACTGTGTGCCGGGTACCATTCTTGGCATTTAATATATATTAGCCCATTTAACTCATTCAGCAATTAAATTATTGAGTACCCTGCTATGCTAGGCAGTAGGGAATGGTGAAAAGATACTGTCTTTGCCTTCAAACAGTTCAAAGAGGCATCATAATGTTAACAGGAATTTTTAAAAAGAGAGTTAGCATTTATTGTATTCCTACATGTCAGGCACTGGATACTCAGGACAGAACAAATATAGAAAGTCATGTCCACATGGAACTTACATTTTAGTGGAAGGAACAAGACTATAAATAAGGACCCGAATAAACAAGTAGATAATTCCAGAAGGTGATGAATGCAATAAAGATAATAATACAGTGATAAGAGAGTGATTAGGGAGAGGCATTAATTCAGACAGAGGGACAGGAAAAGCATCTTTGGGAAGGTGACAATTCAGCTGAGGTTTGAAGAGAGCATTCTAGACAGGCAGAAGAGTAAGTACAAAGTTCCTGTTAGAAACAAGTTTTAGGGGCCAGGTGTGGTGGCTCACGCCTGTAATTCCAGCACTTTGGGAGGCCAGAGCAGGTGGACTGCTTGAGCCCAGGAGTTTAATACCAGTCTGGGCAACATAGTGAGACTGTCTCTACAAATAAGAACACTAGCCAAACATGGTGGCTCGTGCCTGTGGTCCCAGCTGCTGAGGAGGCTGAAGTGGGATGATTGCTTGAGCCTGGGCAGGTCAGCCTGGGTGACATAAGGAAATCTCATCTCAACAACAACAAAAAGAAACAAGTTTTAGGATCAGAAATAGGGTCATAACAGCTGATACACCGGAAGTAGGGAAAAGTTGGTTTGGGATCGAGTCAGGGAAGGCTAGATGATTTCAAAGTCTGGATTTTATACTAATTGCAATATAGTATATGAATCAATCGGAGGACTGCAAGCAAGGGAGTGATAGGATCTGACTTGCTTGTAGCATATTTTGAAAAGATAACTTGCTGCTGGGTAGAGAATGAATTGTAAAGGTGCAAGAGAGAAAGTGGGAAGACCAGAGGAAGCAGTAGTCTAGGCAAGAAGAGATGATGGCGGCCTGGACCACAGTGGTGATAATGGAGACAAAAGAAGTGGAATGATTTCACCGACTGCTCATCACATGCGGGAGTTTAGAGTCGCTCATCTCTTGTAAGTGCAACCCAGAAGCAGGACATTGGTTTCCCAAGTTTACTGCTGTGTCCCCTAACCGTGCTTAGCACAGTGCCATGCACATTTTAAATATTTAACATATGTCATTTTGTTAGATTGAAATTGTCCCTGAAAAGATTTAGGTAAAATGTCCCTGGGAAAAATGTCCAAGGAAGTGGACAGCCAGAGTGGGTGCTGTGTGAAGCAGTGAATTACTTTGGCGGGTTATCTGGGAGAGCCTTTCATTTGCCACAGGGATTGGGTATGGGAGGTGAGCCCGGAGAGCCTTTCATTTGCCACAGGGATTGGGTATGGGAGGTGAGCCCTCACCAGGAGGCTGCAGGTGACTAAGAAACACTAGAATGGTATGAGATCACCTTCCCTTTTTACACCCACCTCAAAGGAATAAGTCCACCTCCCTAACAGGTATTAGCAAGTTCCCTGTGTATTCTGCGTCTAGCCCCAGTTTTCCCAGGATCAGAGAAAACACACATACATGTTCTGCCAAAGCAAAGGAACTCAAAGGATAGGCCTGCCAAGACAGGTCGACAGGATTCAGAACAATCAATTCCTTTCCTACAGAGCAATTGCTTTGAGCCCCTGGATGACGTCAATCAGATTCCGCTCAGACCAATTGGTTCCAGGAATCCTGTGGCCGGTGACGCCCCAGAAGGTAATTCCAATGAGAATGAAGTTTCCACTGATAGCCACAGTGCTCTTCCTTCCGCACTTTGGGAGTGGATATTGGGGATGCCTGGGGCTAGGGGCGGATCCGTGGCTCACTCAGCGAAGCTAATGGAAACCCAAGCAGAACAAAGGGCAAACAGCCGCGGCGGTGGAAAGAGGGGGGGTCTAAAAGGAAGAAGGACCCAGAAGTCCGCCAGATACAGAGGACCGCGTGGGGAAAGCTGAGGGCTAGAGTGGGCGGATCTAGCGGAAACCCTAAGTGTAAAGGTTAAGCGTCACCCAAAAAGTCCTGGGAAATGTGGTCGGTGTGGGCTCTTCCCTAGCTCGGGCCACTTCTCACTACCGGGAAACCCACACCGGTTCTCACGCCCACCCTCTGTGAGAGATCGGAGCTCTCCATCTCCCCTACGCCGCCCCACGCCTTTTCCCCAGGACCCAGGCTCGCTTTGCTCCAGCAGGGGCAGTCCATCCCTTCCCCGAGGGCATCGGCGGGCCCGGCTCTCACCGTCCCCGGGGGCGCCTCTCCTCTCAGCTGGGGGGCCAGTGGACTCCAAGCCGCCCCTAGCCTGCAGCCGCCTGCCCACCAGCAGTCCCGGGCTGTGAGCTCACATCCTGCGCTCGCTGACTCCGCCTGGAGTGCGACCCAGCCCCGCCGGCTGTGGAGCCTGAGACTACAAGGGCCGGCATGCCTAGCGCTCTATACGGGAAGGGTGGAGTCGGAATCCCCCGAGAGTCTTCGCGGTAAGACAAGGGCAAAGCCACTTCCGGCGGCCTTGCCGGCGCTAAGGCTTCTGCGTCTTGTAGGCCTGGCCTCCCCTCGGGCCTTTGTTTCCCAGCAGGCTCCGTGGCATGGGGGCTGTAAGTGCTTCCGAGGTCAGGAAGGTAGTGACGTCGTGGGTAAACAGGTTCTGTAGCCGTGGCAGCGGCCCTGACAGGCTGGCTGAATACCGGCTACCGCCGACCCGGGAGAAGTTGCCGTCTACATCAGCCTGGGCTGCAGTGCGCTGGCGCCGCGGGGCCAGCAGGTAGGCTGACCTCGGGTAGGGGGACGCGGGCGGATCAGGGGCGAGAGGAGCCTGACAGGCCTGCGTCCTGAAGAAAGGTAGTCCCGAGCGGAAAGAGAAGTGGGAATTCCGCCCCACTCTCGGGGGGTGCCTTCCCACCCAGCTTAGGCCTGGAGTTTGATGCGTTGATGCTTGCGACGATCTTATGAGGAAACTGCGGCTTGGATAAGTTCGGGGAGTTTACAGAGTAAAGTGTCGGCTCGCAGGGCCTCGCACGCATCTGGGAGAGCTGGGGCACAGAGAGTGTGCCACCGCATATACTCAGGGAGCTTAGTCCTAGCTCTTGGGCCAGGTGTTGCTCAGATGCTCAGACACCCATGTGGTGGGTGCTGGTAGAGAATCTGCGAACTCTTTGCCTGCACACCTTCTTCCATCTTACCTCTCTCTTTAAGCTAGCCCCTCCATCAGATAGGGGCCAAGCCAGATTCATGGGAGTCAGGCCTGACTCGTTTTTCTCTTATCCTCAAACTTCCACATTCAGTCAGTCCCTACTGAGCCCCATCAACTCGACTTACAAAACATCGCAACTCGGAACACTTGTCTTCAGCTGCCAGCCTTGGTTACTGTAATAATCTCTTATCTGTTTACACGGTCATTCATTCCACAAACATTTACTGAGTGCCAGTTATGTGTGGGCGCATGCTAGGTGCTAGGGTTACAGTGATGAATAAGGTAGGTAGGGCCTTGCCCTCTCGTTCCCTTCAATCCGTTCTCCAGGCAGAGCAAAAGCGATCTTTCTAAATCTGTCTTGGTCTGCTGAGAACCCGCTGGCTGCCTATTACTGCCTCTTTTAGAGCCTTCCACGGAAGGCTCTTACCTCCTTATGTAGCCTCACCCTGTTGATTCTCTTGCTCAGTTTCAGTTCTTGGAATGCATCAAATTTCCTCTTACCTCAGGATCTTCACATATGTGTTTCCTTCTGCCTGCACTGCCTTGCTTCCCCTTTCACTTGACAAACTTTTGAACAGTCTTTAGGTCTCAGTTACATCGTTTTTTCAGAAGGCCTCTGTTGGCATTCCCCTCCAACACTGCCCCCCATGAACTGTGTCCTCCTGCTGCACTTCACATATCCTCACAGCACGGACTCAGTGGGCGTTTCTGAATAAATGCATGCTCTTAGGGAAGGGAGTGGAAGTTGAATCGGATGTTTGCTCCCTCATGTTACTTGAATCTTTCTGGAGCAGCTGGTCAGATTAATGACCTCGTAGGTGCAAAAGATTTTGTTTGTTTTGGTTTTTTTTGAGACAGGGTCTCTCTCACTCTCACTCTGTTGCCCAGGCTGGAGTGCAGTGGTGTGAACACAGCTCACTGCAGCCTCTACCTGGGCTCAAGCGATCCTCCCAGCTCAGCCTCCCAAGTAGCTAGGACTACAGGCACACGCCACCAGGCCCAGCTATTTAAAAATTTTTTTGTAGAGTTGGTATTTTGCCGCATTGCCCAGACTGGTTTCAAATTCCTATGCCCAAGTGATACTGCCACCTTAGCCTCTCAAAGTGCTGGGATTATAGGCATAAGTACCTCACTGGCCAGCATTTTTTTTTTTTTTTTTTGAGACATAGTCTTGCTCTATCATCCAGGCTGGAGTGCAGTGGTGTGATCTTGGCTCACTGCAACCTCCACCTCCTGGGCTCGAGTGATTCTCCTGACTCCGCCTGGGATTACAGGTGCATGCCACCACACCCAGCTAATTTTTGCATTTTTAGTAGAGACAGGGTTTCACCATGTTGGTCAGGCTGATCTTGAACTCCTGACCTCATGATCCGCCTGACTCAACCCCCCAAAGTGCTAGGATTACAGGCGTGAGACGCCGAGCCCAGCCAGCCAGATCTTTTTTTGAAGCCCTATTATAAGGAAGCTTCAGATGATTAAAATGCTTCAAAATGAAGATGCTAGCTCACTTACATCAGTGGATTTCCTTGAGGCCAAAGACCAGAGTCGTGTACAGACAGCCCATAGATATGTTTTAGTTGGCACACACAGTGTTGGTGGGTTTTCCCCCTTACTTTAAATTTTTGATATACATACCAACATTGAGACATTGGATTTCTGGTCCTCTTGAAAACCAGAAGTTCTGGAAACAGTGAGACTTAAATCTTTTCTAACCATTGCTCCTCCTGTGGCACCTGGACAGACACCCACAGAATCACCCCATTCAGAACAGGACTTCTCTAAGGAAGAAGGGAAACAGGTGAGGCTGGGGACACTGGGGGCAGAGGGGAGGGGCTGGTGCAGGTCCAGGTGATGGTAGTCTTTAGAGCACCTGGGTTTTAGAATTGGCATAGCAGCCAATTGCTAGATGTAACTAGCATTGTCTCGCTTTTTAAACAGGTCACATGCTGTCAGTTTTAATTTTGTGTATGTGTGGAATTTTTTGAGCCAGAATGAGGATGACTTTTCAGTATTTCCTTTCCAGAATTGAGGCATCCTTTGGATCAGAAATGCAAGGTGGCCTGGAAAGGGAGAAGATATCTTTGTTAGTTCTCTGCTACCTACAGACAGAAATCCAAACTCCTTAGCTTGGCATACGGGGTCTTCCTGCTCTGGCAGTAGCCCACCTTTCCAGCTCCATGCTTTTTCCTTTCATTCTTAGGCAGGATTGGTCCTTTCAGTGACTTCAGGCCTTTGTCCATGCTGTTTTCTTTTTGGAATACCTATCTCTGGCCTCCTGACTTGATATGTTCTTGCTGATACTTCATTCCTTTTTGTGTTTTCTGCTAGAAAGAGAATGACCCAACTTTGATTCCCAATTCAGGCGAGTGTACAATATACTGTAGCATATGTTTTGAGTAATATTCTTACTCCTTTGTATTTTTTAGCCATAATTTTTAATTCATGCAGATTTCTTATTTGCTTTATGTGTATGTATTTGAGAAGCCTTCTCGTGCTTCTGGGTACATAACTGGTGATATATAAAGTCAGTTCACTTATGGCTCACAACTTAGTTCAGCTGTCACTCCTTCATGAACGGCTCTGACCTCTTCCAGCCCTTTACTGATGTTTCTAAACAAGCATTTAACACAGTATGACTTTTCAGTTTCCATGTCTGCCTTCCCCCAGCTAAACTATGTGTTCTTCCAGGGTGGGGAACGCGTTGCATTCATCTTTGTACCCCCAGCATCTAGTAGTGTTGGCATATAGTAGGCACTCAAGAAATGTGTGTGGAATGAACGATGCCTGTGACAAGCAAGCGGACTTTATTCTTTCCTGACCCTTGCTCCTATGACACACCTCCTCCTGACTGCCACTGTCACTCCTTCAGAGCAGAACTCCTCTAGGGAACCCGGATGGGAAACAGGTGAGGCCCAGTGATGTGGTGGCAGAGGGAACAGGGAGCTTTTGGAACATCTGGGTTTTTTGGCATTGGTGTCCAACGGTAGGAGTGGGGCTGGCTTGGCAGCAGGAATTTCCGTAGGTGTCTGGGGAGTGATTAGGGATTGGGCTGCTTTCTTTGCAGCTATGGCCAAGGACATCCTGGGTGAAGCAGGGCTGCACTTTGATGAACTGAACAAGCTGCGGGTGTTGGACCCAGAGGTTACCCAGCAGACCATAGAGCTGAAGGAAGAGTGCAAAGACTTTGTGGACAGTGAGTATCATTTAGGGAGATACCATGCCACTCGGCTTTGAGCCGGCATTCCAGCTGTACCCCATGCTTATCCCTGACTGTAGCTCTTGGCCCTGCTATGATGGAGCTGCTGTCTCTTGAGTTCCCACGTGCCACCCTTCTCTACTTGCCTCTTATGCTCTCATGTGGTCCCCAGCAGAGCACCAGTCAAACCAAACACTGGGATGGGGAGGGGAGGTGCTTTTAGACATGCCGCCTTTCATTTCTTGCTCTTAGAAACCTTAAATTTCTAGGCCGGGCATGGTGGCTCATGCCTGTAATCCAAGCACTTTGGAGGTCAAGGTGGGTGGATCACCTGAGGTCGGGAGTTCAAGACCAGCCTGACCAACATGGTGAAACCCCGTCTATTAAAAAAAAAAAAAAAAAGAAACCTTAAATTTCATGGGAACACAACCATGGCTTGGGGTGGAAAACAGAATTATGTACTCATTTGATTTCTTCAGAGTCTTCTCAGTGGCAGGTTCTCTGTTATTTGGAGTTAAAAGTGGTAAGTGAAGTTTCTAGAAGCAGTTCAACAGACTGACATCATCTTTTGGCTAGAAATATTCAGGAGGCCTCTTGTCCCAGCAGCCAAGCAAGCCTGATGCCAGTACAGAGCCAGATCTAGCTAGAGCAAGGGATTGCTGAACTTTCTGGGGGCTTCCTAGGTTGTGGAGAGAATGTGACTAGTGAAAGGTAGCTCGGGTTCTGTCACTAACCTTCTATGATTGCTATGCCATGCACACACTTTTCTAGGCCTTAGTTTTCCCTCTGTAAATTGTGTTTGTTACATGCAGGACATTGGAAATAATGAATGGGAGATTAGGCACTTAAATGCTGTGAGTTCTTTATTTACTGTGGTTACAAGTGGGAAGCCCCATCCCCACCATTAATTGAAACCTGGTGTCATACCTGTAGCTAGTCCAGAGGCAGTGCTTGTGTCCTGAGGCTGCCATTTTGTGAACAACAGCGCTTCCTGTCACTCCCGGGGAAGCAGGGTTGGGGTCTGTCTGGAGGATGGGCCCAACAAGGGCATAGAGCTTTCAAAGCCTGAGGTCACAGCAGCTGGCTCAGTGGGGACGCAAGGTCCGGGTATGCTCTGGTCCAGCTGGCCACCCTTCTCTAGGTTCAGACCAAGGGTGGGAGACATAGGCCAACAGGCACCAACATGTTTAAGTGACAGGGTCTCACTATGTTGCCCAGGATGGAATGCAGTGGCAGTTCACAGGCATGATCAAAGCATACATCCTCAAACTCTTGGGTTCAAGTGATCCTCCCACCTCAGCCTCCTGAGTAGCTGGGACTACCGATGCTCACCACCACGCCTGGCTCAACACCGAACTATTTTGACACAAATCAGAAGGGGCAGTCAGCTTTGCCCTCTCACTGCCTCAGCACTCTGCTGAGGGAGAGTAATGATACTTAAGAAATATTTTATTTTTTGTTCTTTTCCTGAAAGAAATTGGCCAGTTTCAGAAAATAGTTGGTGGTTTAATTGAGCTTGTTGATCAACTTGCAAAAGAAGCAGAAAATGAAAAGATGAAGGTAAGATCAGCATGTCTTCTGCCTACATCTTGGCCTGGGACCCTAGTTCACTAGCTTCTCATCCTTCTTCCCTCTTAATCTGTTTAGAGGGGTGGGTGGGTGATTTAATTAAACTTTTAATAACTTCTGGTCCATTTAACCTACTGAACTTATGATTTCCTTTTTTAAAACAGTGTCTCGCTCTGTCACTAGGCTGGAGTGCAGTGGCACAATCTCGGCTCACTGCAACCTCCGCCTCTTGGGTTCAAGCAATTCTCTCACCTCGGCCTCCCGAGTAGCTGGGACTACAGGTGTGCGCCACCACACCCAGCTAATTTTTTTTGTATTTTTAGTAGAGATGGAGTTTCACCATGTTGGCCAGGCTGGTCTTGCTCTTGACCTCAAGTGATCTGCCCACCGTGGCCTCCCAAAGTGCTGGGATGACAGGCGTGAGCCACCACACCTGGCCTCCTTTAATCTTCATATAGGCACTGATGTAGATGGGTTTATCATTTTATAAATGAAGAGATGAAGGCTTACAGTATGATTCGTGAAAGGCACAAGGCTGAATGGCACCACCGAATGTGCCATTGTGCCTGGCTCTAGGAATACTCCTAGACCCGCCTCAAAGCTGCTGTCAAGTTCTTGAGGCACTTTGTGATCAGTAGGTTAATCCTTCTGATTTAACCCAAAAGCTTTGGGGCTCTGCTTTCTTTTCCTCTCTGGAGACTGACATAGCTCCCAGATGACCCCTCCCCACTTTGAGGACTTCATGCTGTAGACGGGTTTTAATGAAGCCATGGCCTTCTCTGGCAATACTGTAGGCCATCGGTGCTCGGAACTTGCTCAAATCTATAGCAAAGCAGAGAGAAGCTCAGCAGCAGCAACTTCAAGCACTAATAGCAGAAAAGAAAATGCAGCTAGAAAGGTAAGAAGTCATGATGTAAAGCAAGTTCTTTACACAGCTGAATTTCTACTCTTCCTTCTGGAATGATCACTTCTTGTCATTATTCTTCATCGTTTTCCCAGGAATAGCATCTCGTCATCCTGATTTGAAGATTTTTAAAAATAAAATTACATTTGATGGGAAGGAGATAGAAAACTTAATATCAAACCACCTCTAGTAGTTTGAGTATGAAAGGGTCCACGAAGTTGGCTGGCTCTCTGAAAGAAGACTTTCCTAGGGCTGGAGATTTCTCATGGGTGGCTCTGGGTAGGGCTTTGCCTCTATCTTTCTTCATTCTGAACTCACACCATTTCTTGAAATCATTTAAACCTCTACATCTCTAGAAGAATTAAGTCTGTGGTTTACTTCATCCTTTTTTCAGGGCCTCTAACAATTTTGTTTTTCAGGTATCGGGTTGAATATGAAGCTTTGTGTAAAGTAGAAGCAGAACAAAATGAATTTATTGACCAATTTATTTTTCAGAAATGAACTGAAAATTTCACTTTTATAGCAGGAAGGCAAAACAAAAAAAGCTCCTCAAAACCAAAAAAACCTCTGTACCATTCCAGCGGCTTGACCAGTGACCTATGTCACAAGAGGTGGCGTTTAAGGAAGGCAGCCCCCTGAGTCTGGGGGAGCCCATTTTTAAACATCAGCACACAGCTGCTGCTGGTGGCCATGCAGTGCACGTTCTCACCTCTTATGCTCTTAGTTGGAACTAAGCAGTTTATAAACTTTGGTCCTTGTAAATTCACAAAGCTTTGGAAGGAGAAGCAATAAATTTTTGTTTTCAAATGGGTTGATGTAACTTTTTTCCTGTTCCCCTTGAAATATGTTTAACCCATTGTGAGAGAACCCTTGATTTCCTATCCCCCAGTCCACAAAACAAACCAGGCAGTGTTCAGCAGCTACATTTATTTGGATAAGACATGCGAGTCAAAACAATACCACTAATCAAACCAATATGGCTTGTGAGCAAAATTGGTGAAAATTGAGGGAACTGACTGGGACCTGCTGTCTAACATCATTTGAAGGTTGGACTTGAGCACAGACTTAAGAGAAAGCTGATGGAATATGAAGCATCAACGTGAAGAGACCCTATATGCACACAGTGGCTATGTTATGCCTGGCTGTGGCCACCTTCCCTTCCGAGAACAAGATGGGAATGACTGAACTATATTAGAAGGATGAAGTTATCCACTACGGAGCACACTTCCAGATCAGGCTTGAGATGCTAGACTTCAGATAAAGGGACTTGTGTCAGGTGGCCTTTAGAAACGTGGAAGACCAAGATTTAGAAATAAAGTAACTTAAAGACGTCTGGGCGCAGTGGCTCACGCCTGTAATCTCAACACTTTGGGAGGCTGAGGTGGGTGGATCATGAGGTCAAGACATCGAGACCATACTGTCCAACATGGTAAAACCCCATCTCTACTAAAAATACAAAAATTAGCTGGGCATGGTGGCGTGCGCCTGTAGTCCCCAGCTACTCAGGAGGCTGAGGCAGGAGAATCACTTGAACCCAGGAGGCAGAGGTTGCAGTGAGCCGAGATCATGCCAGATGCTCAGAGCAAGACCGTCTCAAAAACAAAACAAAACAAAACAAAAAACCCTCCTAGGATGATCTGTTTACAACAGAAACAAAAACATCTTCCAGTCTAACCCATTTCTGACTGAAAGTCATTACAGGGCTAAACCTTAAGAAAACTAAACTTCCTTTGCATAGTATTTTCTCTTTTTTCCTTGGGTTAGAGGTGGGGACAAGAAAACATGACAGTTTTGAATTAATACTACAGAGGCAAAATTTCACATTTTAAAATGGCCCCAAACATTGCACTGTTCATGCTGCTGATAGGTGATATACTCTAGGTAATCAGGAGTGGAGGGTTTAGTCATAAGCAGCATATATCCTGTGGGTCAGGTGACTCATGAAAATGTCAAGCAGGCCATGTTCTTTAACAGTTTCTGGTCTGGTCCTGCTTTAATAATCTTGCAGCGGAACTCAGGCATATAGTCAGGTATTTAGTACCACTTCCCTATAACCTAGCCCATATCCCTTTCCCCACTCTAAGCCAATCAGTCTGTTCATTCCAGTTCCCTCAGAAGGTGAAAGTTTGGGCCGGGCCCAGTGGCTCACATTTATAATCTCAGCACTTAAGGGGACTGAGGTGGGCAGATCACTTGAGCCTAGGTGTTCAAGACCAACCTGGGCAACATGGCAAAACCCCGTCTCCACCCAAAAAAAAAAAAAAAAAAAAAAAAAGAGGGTTTGACATGGTTCCTGACACCATCTTGCTCTTGTGAGTTGCTGCCAGTGTTTAAAATGCTGCTGAAGACGTGGATTCTGAGCAGTGTTCCTTGTATCCAATAAGCAACTGCCCTGTAGGCATGTCTACCCTGGGCCAGTGGTGGTTTCCATCATTTTTTTTTTCTTTTCTCCTCATACTTGTAGTAGGGACTCCGGAGCATGAAAATTAAAAGAACAAATGGGATGAGTAAGTAGGGGGCATAGACAGATACAAGGGTTAACCGTTCATGCAAAGTCTCAGGTCCTTGTCCTTTAAAACCACTGGCTTTAGAGAAATCCTCAAACAGAAATGTGGAGAGTATTGGAATTAAAGTTGTCATGGTGTGAACTGAGTAGATGATTGCAGGGGTTCGAATCCACTTGCAGCTTCCTGAGGTAGTCAGGGGAAAGAAAAATGATTAGGTCAGTTCATGACTCCAAGGCATCCATGACCTTCCCACTGTCTCTGTCTGCTCTCTTCTACTCCATTCTCCAAGTGGGAACTTGTAACTGGAAAACTGGATGTGCCACACTGCCCAACATGCAGACTTACATGACAGCTCACTGACAGCTCGCCAAAGAACCAAGAATGGGGCCATAACATAACTCAGAAAAACTCTAGGGCAATGAAAGTGCCGTTACCTGTGAAACCTGTGTGGTATAAAATGCAAGGGGAGGGAAATCCCTGCCCCATGGCATCTGTTTGTTCAGTAATTATATAGGTGAGAGGATCAGGAGGCAGATTCAGTGACCCCAGAGGATGCCAGTGGGAAATGAGCATTTTCAGCTGTTTTAGCTTCATTATCAAGTACATGTGTATGGTCACCTTTTTAAAAAAGTATTGATTATGAGAACACATAAGAATAATTTTAAAATGAGAAGCATGTTAGGGATTAGGCTGATGCTACAGCTTATAAGTCAGTGTGATACTATTCAATGCAGAGAAATAAGCCAACAAAAAGGGAAATTAAGTCTGTTGGGGAACAAAACAAAAGGGAACAAGCTCATTGTTGAAGTGGCCTCAGGTTTCATGTGTATGCGAGAGATTTCCAGACAAGTGAGGCAGCCATGCAGCCCCGCTGACCACAGACATGAGCCTGAACCGCAGCCACACTAACATCCCTTTACAAGATCTACCCTGGCTATTTCCCCAGATCCTATGGCATCCTCCCACAAGCTATGGGGGTCATCCCCTTCCCTTTGGAGATACTTTCCCAAAAGATTTCTGGGACCTGATTCCTGAGTAAAAATCACCATTTTCCCACCATTTACCAACCTTTGAGAAAGGCGTATGTTGCAATGGGAAAGAAAGGCAGTTGAAACACAAGCTCACAGAAGAGAAAGGACTTAAACCAGGCTGGGAGCTCCTGTAGCAGTGGGTCTTTGAACTCCTTAGCATACCATTTCAGCAGGTTTCTAAACTGAAAAAGAAAACGATCATGATGAATTATAGCCACCTGGCCTCAACAGGCTTGGCTCCAAATCATCTGAAAATACACTGGAGGAGCCTGTAATTAATCAGCCCTGCTCCCACCCCGGCAGCAGATGGCATGTCCAGCTGGCTTTTGTGACACAGCCTAGACGGTCATTCAATAAAAACTTACTATCCCTAACTCAAATGTTCCCTTCTCTGTGACGTTTTCTCAACTCTTCAACTCCTCCTTTCTGCTACCCAGCATTTGTTCATAATTTCAAGATAACACATATCCAGGTGTGTTGGCCACTCTCAGGAGCAATAATAAAGACCTGGCACTTAGTAGGCACTCAGGGTGTTCGCTGAATGAACAAATGTGACATTTCTGCCAACAATATCATTCTTTGTTTTTTTTTTTTTCTTTTGTTTTTAAAAAGACAAACGTGAAAACCATCCTCACACTTTCCCTTTCGCAATGGCAACGACACACTAAACTCCAAAGGCCAGATTCCCTCAAATGCAGAAATGAATTTCTCTCTTCTTTTTGGGGGCTGGGAGTGAAAGGGGAAGTAAATCTAACCTCTGTGGAGATGTAATTTTGGACACCTTAACTCCAATATGGCATATGGCAAATAAGTTCCTTATTCTGTTTTTTTTTTTGAGACAGTTGCTCTGTTGGCCAGACTGGAGTGCAGTGGCGCGATCTCAGCTCACCACAACCTGCACCTCCCAGGTTCAGGCAACTCTCCTGCCCAGCCTCCTGAGTAGCTGGGATTTTAAGTGCATGCTACCACACCCAGCTAATTTTTGTGTTTTTTGTAGTGACAGGGTTTAGCCATATTGGCCAGGCTGGTCTTGAACTCCTGAAAGTGTGATCCCCCCACCTTGGCCTCCCAAAGTGCTGGGATTACAGGTGTGAGCCACCACGCCCAGCCAAAAAAACCCCTATTATCATTCTTAGCTTCCCTAATTCTAATTTTTGGTTTGTTTTAGGAGACAGTAGGATTTTAGTGGAAGAACAAACTCTGCCCCAAACCATAAAGTACCTAGAAGCTTCCTGGCTATGCAGGGCTTTAGCATCTTAGTTCTAGCTTGGGCCCCACCCTTCTAATTACCCTGTCAAATAAAAAGGATGAGGATCCATGCTGACCTGGCCACAGACAGAGAAAAGATGCAGAATTTAAGGCTGCCCATTTTTGGCTTTTATAGGAGCCCAAAGCCTAGTGCTTTTGGCTTTATGTGGACTACTTAACATCTGTCACGTTTAACCTCCTAGACATGGCCTTGTCCTGACACACAGGCCTTCAAAGACAAATAAGTCTTGATACTATGATTAATAGAGGCAACTCCAGGGTAAGAATTTATCTTACAATGGAAAATCCAAGGATATTTTTCCTGTTAATTTTTATCAAAAGATAAAGGCTTACTATTGTGAAATAGATGGTCCACTGTTGCAAGAGTGCTTTAAGCAAACATCCAGAAACAAACATCCTGGTGGCATATTAATTTCAGAAAGGCTCTGGCTAGATAACCAATTTATCGACCCAAGGATCTCCAATTTTTTTGTTTTGTTTTTGTTTAGGATCTCCAATTTGTACTTAATTTAAATTCATAGCAATATCCTTTGCTTCCTTCTAAGCACTTTTCAGATAGTTTGAATGAGATTGAATTTGACAGGAAACACAAAGGCTAAGTCACTGTTCTCTTCCAGGGTTCTATTTCTTCATCTATAAAGTGAGCAACTTGGACTAGATTTTTTTTTAAGATCCTTTTTGGCTTTTTAGATTTTTAAATACTGGAGGAAACTACCTGCTTTAAAAGACTGTAAAATTATTATTTTCTTTTGAGATAGTCTCTGTTGCCCAGGCTGGTGGAGTGTGGTTCACTGCAACCTCAACATCCTGGGCTCCAATGATTCACCCACCTCAGCTTCCCCAGTAGCTGGGACTACAGGTATGCACTATTAAGCCCAGCTAATTTGTTTTAGAGACAGGGTTTTGCCACATTGCCCAGGCTGGTTTCAAACACCTGGGCTCAAGCGATCCTCTTGCTTCAGCCTCCCAAAGTGCTGGTATTACAGGTGTGAGCCACTGTACCCAGCCTGGCTGCAAAATTTAAGAGGCATTCTGGGTTAGGCCCAGTCATGATGCCTCTAATTCCAGCACTTTGGGAGGTCAAGGCAGGCAGATCACCCCAGGTCAGCAGTTCCAGACCAGCCTGGCCAAAATGGCAAAACTGTATCTCTACTAAAAATACAAAAATTAGCCGGGAGTGGTGGCTCACGCCTGTAATCCCAGCTACTCGGGAGGCTGAGATAGGGGAACTGCTTGAACCCAGGAGGTGGAGGTTACAGGGAGCCAAGATTGCGCCACTGTACTCCAGCCTGGGTGACAGAGCAAGACTCCATCTTTTTTTTTTTTTAAATGGGCATTCTGGCCATTTGAAGTTCACTTTCTATTCAATTTGTATACAACCTCTCTGATCCACCTATTTTGTAAATTGAGGCAGACTTGTACAGCACTTTAAGTTCTAAGGCCTACAAGATAAGATCAGCAAAATGTAAAAAACAATCTTATCAGCCAGATATCCTAATCAATTAGGACCCAACCATCTGCTCACA